GGCCGTATAACTACGCCCGCACAGGAGGCGAAAACGCCTAGACGCAGGCCTCAGGTCACGTCAGCTACTGCGCCTAATCCCAGCGCCAGATTCCTGATGGGCTCGGACGGTTGAGACATCCACACGACACATTCGCAAGTTCATCACGAGATTAAATCTGGCGCGCTTACATCTACCATGACGCTCTTTAGAGCCATGGCGTGGAAGTTTGCCTACTGACTGACTGACTGGCTGGCTACCTCGGCCCATATCAAGACTGAGAGTGAGATCCAGTGTCTTCTTTTTAATATAGTTTCTATGGTACTTCCACCCGACCCTGTGATTGAAAGAAAGAAAGAAAGAAAACGCCCGAATTCTGCGTTGTGGATACAGACAGTTTATTTCGTAAGTGTACCTGTTCTTTTGCGCGTGACGCATCCTAGAGTCAAGTACGCAGTCGAAAGTGGTATAATTTGGCGACACTGAAGTTATTGTGCTCTATTTGTTGAATGTGAACATCCTGGCCGAAAATCAGCCACTTTTTAAAGCTAAGTCAGGCTGGTCGCTGTTTTCCATTCGTGGTAAACCTTTACAGTGGTACAGTGCAGTTATTGCCGCACCATAGGTAATACTCGATTTGCTAACTGTGTATTTGAGGTCTGAAGTTTACTCGAACACTAGTCTTAGATTTTGGTTACCTGCTCTCTATGCACGTCTACGACCCGGCTGATTGATTCTGTGTAAGTTGCGGTGGCGCTGAGTGGTCTGGTACCGCGACATACTCTTCCAATTGAGCGTTAGCTCCTATACCAATTGAGGCAAGCGTTCGAATCCCAAGCGTGTGTGTGCGTGTGTGTATAAAAAAAGACGGAGAAGCCTGTTCGTTCGCGAGAATAATATCTTTATTAATCTGAGCTTGCAAGCTCTTACAGGAATCCATCGTTAGAGATAAAAATGGCAACGAAACGAGCAACCGTTATAGGAGGTAAGGGGCCAATCAAATTTCAGCAATGCCAGTCTAGAGGTGACAACTTAAGGCTCGTATGCCGGTGCCAATCGATAAACTGAGTTCTCATCGCAGTCCAGAGCTTCAATCAATTCCCGGTTTGAATTGCTTCTGGCGTGGGCAATTATCTTCGAGACGGTGAAGTTGAACCGGTTACGCGTTTCGTAGATATGAGCAGTAACTTGTGATAGTCCAGCCGCCCGACATAACTTACTAAAACATTGTTCTGCTATTGCGGCAATTGTACCTAAGGCGTAAAAAAAACGAAATATTATTTTGATATTACTTTCACTGCTGAGGCAAGATCTATGCGTTTGCTTTTTGTCCTTTCTACACAACTTTCCACTTTCGGAATGAAGTTTCTTCTTTTTCTGCGACTTATTTATAACCCTTTTTGTCTCGCTTTCAGCCTTTGATGTGCTGCGGGATCGCGGATTACGGAACGTTCTGTCTTCTGGCTATCCAACCATGGCGGCAGCCGTTGAACGGGCATCTGTGGAACAGTCTTCGTCTAATACTCCAAGCCGCCGAGCTGTTTCACCTAAAGCTTCCTGCTATGACAATGCATGGATTTCACCCAGCCTACAGTCGCAAAATCCCCAAAGCCAACAGTTATGCTATTCTGAAAATTCGGGCGTGATTACTTCGGGTCTTCGGCATCCACTCATCATAAATGTCGACAGAGTCACCTTTAGCGGTTTCTCAAGTGATCATTGTCCTGTGTACTTTGATCTCCACATTACTTCCAGTTCTTTTTAATCAACTTGCATCCTGCCTTTTTTAATCCATGAGATATTTCCTTATGCAGCTTTTATGCAGCCTTTATTTTTTTTGCTTTGAAATAAACTACTTCAATTACCCAACCTCATCCACGGTCTCCTCCTTATTGGTCGTCTGCGCAGCCAATCAGTTTTTTGCTCCAGCGTGCGGTTTTCCGTCCAATGAACAGCCGACCATTCTCGCAATACTTATTTACTGCACTGGATGAGCCAGATGCCTTCGGTGCTGCTAGATGAGAATGAACCGATCAGGTGCCGGGCCCACTAGTAATGCCTCTACCATCTCTTTTTCTGACGATGTTTGGGCCTACCTTGAACTGCGCCGTGGCATGCGCCAGACAGATATCAACATCCTCGCCCCCGCCAGCGCCATCTACATTATCATCTTCATTCTCGGCTTTTCCGGCAATCTGAGCCTTCTCTGGCTCATTGTCTCCAACCGATCATTTCATACGCCAACAAACTACTATCTGGTCAACCTCAGTGTCTCTGACCTGCTGGTGCTGATGCTAGGCCTGCCACACGATCTCTACACCATGTGGTCCCGTTACCCCTATCTCTTCGGCGAGATCGGTTGCCGTGTTCGCGCTCTCCTCTCCG